TAGTTAAACCAATGGAAATTGGGCAAGTTGTTGTGACAATTGAAGTAAAAGAAGCATATTAGGAATTACCATGATATAAATACCATTAGGGAGCATCCAATTATTGGTTAGGCCAAAAACTATTAAATGAGCCACAATATACATCTTATTAAGTAAAAGAAGCATATTATGCATAAAATTTGGAAGGAGCAACACCAAATGTTTTGGCTATTTTTGAAAACGCAGAAATGTTTTGATTATCAGAAAAACACCAAATGTTTTAGGGTTTTTCTAAAAAAATGTCAAACCATTTGTATATTATATATATATATATATATATATATATATATATAATATATATTAAATATATTAATTTGATGCAATTTCCAAATGAGTCAGTGGTAAGAGTTTAGGAGTTTAATCTATCTGACTGACTGGTTTGAAAGTTAGAATAAGCAAATTAGTTTTCTTTTTTAGCTGTGTAATATATATTTTGGCTTTATCATAATTATTAAAATGTTATATTTAATATAATATTTGATGTAAATATTATAAATATACATATTTTTTATTTTCTATATATATTAATATATATATATATATATATAATATATATATATGCCAAATGGTTTTGACATTTTTTAGGTAAATGCCAAAACAATTTGGTGGCATTTGCTCCTTTTTTTTTTTTTTTGCTAAACAAGCTTTCTTTTTACTTAATTAGGATTATATTATGCTCCTTTTTATATTTTGGCCTCTGTTTAATCATAAAAAGTTTTGAGACATTGGCTTTTGGAGAAAATTGAAAAACTCCAGAATGCCGACACCAAATTTCTCTATAAGGTAATGACAGTCCACCAAGGATTCGAGAAGTAAGTAGTTGTTAGTAGACCTTTTTAATCAACTTGGGATATCATATCGTTTTCACACCGAGTTCACAGATGGGACTTCAACTCCACCTACTCACGGGACACCCTACTCAGCCGACTCTCATTCTCCACACTCTTCTGCCAAGACAGATTGCCCATACGGAACTCAATTTTGATCTCCACTCACTCCTATATATACTCACACTTGTGTAAGCACATTTTATAGACTATCAATGAAACAGTAACTTAGCCTCATCCTTCTTCTCAGTTCCTTTCCCTAAACCTCTTTTTGCAGGTCATATTTTCTTGGTATCAGAGCCTTTGAGCATCATCGCCAATGGCTGAGCAACGACCCTCTCGCTACGAGGTACCAGCTTCCTCAGCTGCTACACGCCTGCAATCCTCTATCTCCGTCTTGGCTGACTTTTGTGATACTCAGCTCCTCTTAAATTTCTAATGTCCAAATCCTCAATTCCATTCATCAATTCTGCAACTCAACATTGACAACTATGCTATTTGGAGTTTGCAGATCTACAAGCTGTTTTTAGCAAACCATATATTGACAGGCTATGCCCTCACAAGAAGCAAGTTCACCCCACAAACCGATGACGATGCCGAAAGCTGGCTATAGAAGCTCATAGATCAGAATCTAGTCTCCGATTACTATCCACAATCTACTATCGGTGTTACCTTACATCATCTCTCCAGCGCACCGAAATTGGCTTACACTAGCCAACCAGGCTTCAAGCGCTACAATCGATCAAAGTGATCCAATGAAAAATGAACTCCATAATGTTCAAATGAAAGACAACACAATGACCAGTACTTGGCTCAAATCAAAAACTCTGGTGGACAACATTGCTATTGTCGGGTCGCACATGACTACTGAAGACATTCTAATTGTACATCCTCAATGGATTGCCTCCTTCCTACATTGCCATCAAGACCCTCAATCTGCACATTCCAAGCTCCCTATCTGCGCTGACGTCTTTTATTTGATTCATATGCAGCAAAGAATCAGCATTAAAAACCAACTAAAGCAAGAACCAATCCATCTTCCGACCACCCTAGCTCTAATATTCAAATCAGCCCAGGTCTTCTGCGGAGAGGAAACCATTCGTTTCGGGGGGGGGGGGGGGGGGGGGGGGGGCGTCAACTCTTGATCATTCCATCTCCAACAACTGATTTGAATATAGAGCTAGGTGGTCGGAAGATGGATTGGTTTCTTGCTTTAGTTGGTTTTTAATGTTGATTTCTTCGCTGCATATGATCAAATAGAGGACGTCAAGGCAGATAGGGAGCTTGGATGTGCAGATTGAGGTCTTGATGGCATTGTAGGAAGGAGGCAATCCATTGAGGATGTACATTAGAATGTCTTCGGAGTTCATGTGCGACCCGACAATAGCAATGTTGTCCACCAGAGTTTTGATTTGAGCCAAGTACTGGTTCATGGTGTTGTCTTTCATTTGAACATTATGGAGTTCATTTTTCAATTGGATCACTCTTGATCGATTGGTAGGTTGAAGCCGGTTGGCTAGTGTAAGCCATATTTCGTGTGCGCTGGAGAGATGATGTAAGGTAACACCGATAGTGAGATTGTGGATAGTAATGCGGAGACTAGATTCTGATCTATGAGTCTCTATAGCCAGCTTTCGGCATCGTCATCGGGTTTGTTGGGGTGAACTTGGCTTCTTGTGAGGTAGCCTTCAAATATGTTTGCTAAAAACAGCTTGTAGATCTGCAAACTCCAAATAGCATAGTTGTCATTGTTGAGTTGCAGATTGATGATGGATTTGAGATTGGACATTAGAAATTTAAGAGGAGCTAGTATCACAAAGTCAGCCAAAGAGGCGGAGATAGAGGATGCAGGCGGTGTAGCAGCTGAGGAAGCTGGTACCATCGTAGCGGAGGAGTCTTGCTCAGCCATTGGCGATGATGCTCAAAGGCTCTGATACCAAGAAGATATACCTGCAAAAAGAGGTTAGGGAAAGAAACTGAGAAGAAGAATGAGGCTAAGTTACTGTTTCATTGATAGTCTTATAAAATGTGCTATTACACAAGTGTGAGTATATATAGGAGGTGAGTAGGGAGATCAAAATGAGTTCCGTTAGGGGCAATCTGTCTTGGCAGAGAGTGTGGAGAATGATGAGTCGGCTGGAGTAGGGTGGTCCCGTGATAGGTGGAGCTGAAGTCTCCCATGTGAATCTGGTGTGAAAACAGATATGATATCCCAAGTTGATTAAAAGGTCTCTACTAACAATCTTACTTCTTCTGAGATTCCTTGTTGGACGGTCATTACCTTATAGAGAAATTTGGTGTCGGCATTCTTGAGTTTTTCAATTTTCTCCCAAAGCCATGATCTCAAACTTTATGATTAACAATAAGGCCAAAATATAAAAAGGAGCATAATATAATCCTAATTAAGTAAAAGAAGCTTGTTTAGCAAAAAAAATAAAAAAGGAGCAAATGCACCAAATGTTTTGGCATTTACCTAAAAAATGTCAAACCATTTGGCATATCATTGACATTTTTTTTAGAAAAACCCTAAAACATTTGGTGTTTTTCTAAGTACATCAAAACATTTTGCGTTTTTCAAAATATGCCAAAACATTTGGTGTTGCTCCTTCCTAAATTTTATGCATAATATGCTTCTTTTACTTAATTAAGATTATATTGTGCTCCATTTTATATTTTGGCCTAACAATAATTGGATGCTCCCTAATGGTATTTATATCATGGTATTCCTAATATGCTTCTTTTACTTCAATTGTCACAACAACTTGCCCAAATTCCATTGGTTTAACTATATTTGATTTAATCGTTTTTCCATTAACTATGCTTTTCTGGTGTGGAATATCATTTTAGTTGGTTTAAAAATAGCTTATGTTCTTAGACAAAGAAAAATTATGGGTAAGTAATGATGATAATGAGAATCACTCCCATTTATTTTTCAACTGTGAGCTTTTATTTCATATCCTTGAGAGCTTTATTCCTTCGGGGAATGTTTTTTTTTTCATATTGGCAGCTCCATCCTACAAGCATTGACTCTGATAATATTTCCTATAAAATTAGCAGAAATTTTTTCTTCTAAACTGTTCATCTTTCTTTTCTGCTGAGATTCTTTGGCTAATGCGTATCACGATGGTTCTCTAATTCTGTTTATTTGCTGGATACCTCTAGTATCAGCTGAGGTATTTCTTCTGAATTGAGAATAGTTCATCCAAAGCGAGCTTTTAGGCAATTTTCTTCAATAAAATATATAGCAAGAATATTTACCTAAATATGCATATTATGAGTCAGTCAAATTTCCCAATCTTAATATATCATAAAAACCTTGATAACATTATAATAAAATATTTCAAAAGCATTCTCCATAATAATTTAACATACTAAAAATCCTTAAGGTTTTCTTTCAGCCAAATTCATATCAAACATATTTTAAAATATAATACTGTTGCATAAAGGATTTTTTCAGAGTTAGAAGAAACAAAATACTAGAATTTCTGAATCACAACTGAATTAGCCAGGCCTGCTTGCTCAATCGTGTGAGAAACATCAGTGAGCTGCTTGGGTGGGAAACCAACAGTCTGAAGTGTATAGTTCCTCGCAGCTCCAGGTCTCGATGCATCGATGAATGCTCGAATATCACCAATCGTGTGGCGGATATTGAAACGGGAGACCATTCGAGTGCCATCTGCTAACCTAAGTTGAATTGAAGTTAAGGGTAATGATTCATCCACTGAAAGACCTGAAAAGGGGGTGGGAGGAGAAGAGGAGGATGGGGGAGGTTCAGAACTGGATGATCCACCACCAAGCGTTCTTCCAACACCCTGAAATGGACTGAGACGTTTCACTGGTTCCTGTAAAATGAAAATTTATAAGCCCTAAAGATTAGAAATCAGATGAAAAATGAAATATTAGAGCTGAAAAGTAAAAATGAAATATTAGACAAGTTTGAACCCACCGGGCAATTTTCTTCTCTCCTTATCAGATTGACGTGCACAGCTGACCTCCTATCTGTTGGCTCTAGCTCTTTTGGGCACTCAGATTTCTTAATACTCTACACAACAAGCAATGGATTATATTATCAGATGTAAACCATGTTTATCAAATAAATAAAAAGTGATGGCAAACAGCCTCTTAACTTCTTGCAAGCCATTTTAAAAGGTCAATGCAGTCCCTAAACAACATCTAAAAACGTAAAACACTAATAATCGTTCAGCATTTTCAAAAGAAACAGGCGAAGTAAAGCACAATGGTCTTTTTTCCCCTTCAAATAAAACAGAGCTACTTCAATTGAAGCACAATTCATTCATCGTTACATATGCTATTATACATTAAAAGAAGTTCAAAATTTATTGAGCCAAATTAAGCATGCACAATATCAAACGATTTTTTAAGCCGAAGCACTAAATAATATATGCAAAATAAAGTTAAAAAGAAACGGCACTTCAAATTATACATGTATCATGGGGCAGCATCCATATAGAAAAATAACTGTAGAAAACACTATAGAAGTTACCAATCAATACCCAAAAAAGGAAGAAATAGAAAAATCTGCATTTGCAAATGCATTTCCCGTTTTTTTATTAGAAGGACGTGGTTAAATTTATGGAGATGAATTGTGAAACAGTAATAAAGCCGATCAGTAGCTCAATTGATATTTTCCCAAATCCTTCCAACTGATGGATTGGTTCGGGAAGAATAAGAATAATAATTACAACGAGAACAACTTTAAAAGAATGAAAACAATGCAAATACAAATCGTTAAAATGCGGTACCAATATACTGAAAATAAAACTAGCGTAAACATTGGTCGCATAGAGCACTTTGCGGATCAGAAATAAAGCATAAGCTTCTCTGCCTTAGAGAGTATTTTTGCATCTACACAATGCTTTTGGGTGAACTGAAGGCCTTCTCATGCACTTCACGCTTCTAAAGCGTGAGCTTGAATGCGAGGACCACAATCAAAGTATTATTTGTACCAGTGATGCTCACACCTAACTCCAATCCTTACATGAATTCATGAACAAACTCTAGAAAATAATATCAGGGGACGAAACTATAGAAAACAAAAAACTTAAGAACCTAAGAGTTTGAGCTCAATCTAGACTAAAATTTCAATTCACACATGAACTCTAAAAGTCGAGTGCTCCTCAATGAAAATGATAAAAAAAGAAACAAAAAGACCAATACATGTCATGCATGCATACTCCTAAAATTATATACAACAACAGCAACATCAAGCCTTAATCCCACTGTGGGGTTGACTACATGAATCCTTTTTCTTCATTGTGTATTGTTAAAAGTTAAATTCTCATTTAAATCTACTAAAAAAATATTATTTCTAATATTTTCTAAAAAATCTTTTTAGGTCTGCCTCTACCTTTCTTACATAGGCCATATCTCCTAATAGGGTCATCGGAAGGCCGCCGTTTTAAATGACCAAACCATCTAAGGCGACTCTCTCTAATCTTATGTCACTGGAGCTACTCCAACCTTTTCACAGATATGCTCGTTTCGTATCCTATCTCTAAGAGTAAATTCGCTAATCCACCTGAGCATCCTCACCTTAGCAACACTTAACTTAATATTGTGCTTCTCTTTTAATAGCCAACATTTTGCGCCATATAGCATTGCGGGTCTCACCACCATCTTATAAAATTTTTCCTTAAGTTTGAGTGATACTTTTCAATCACACAACAAACCCGAAACATTTCTCCACTTTAACCATCCAACTTGAATTCTACTAATAAAATCCCCACCTAGTTCACCATCACTCTAAACAATAGACCCAAGATATTTAAAATGAGTACACTTATTAATAACTTGATTTGCTCAAAGTCACAAACCCTCAACTATATCTATTACTATTAAAATTACACTTCATGTATTCAGTTTCATATCTACTCATACGAAAACCTTTAGACTCTAAGGTTGATCTCCATAATTTGAGTTTACCTTCAACTCCATCTCTAGTCTTATCAACAAAAAAAATATCATCAGCAAAAAACATACACTAGGGTACATCCTCTTGCAAATGTCTAGTAAGAACATCCATGACTAAAGCAAAATGATAAGGGCTTATGGCTGATCCTTGATGTAATCTAACTGAAATAGGAAAATACTTAGTCAAACCTTCTTGTGTTTGAACACAAATAATAGCTCCTGCATACATATCCCTAATGACTTGAATATAAGCATTATTAACCCCTAATAATCCTAAAATTATATAAGAGAATAAAAAATAAAAACAAAATGGGAAAAGCTGCGATCAAGGTACTTGCTGCATCTTGGCTACATTCCCAACAAAGGGTTCCCTACAGATGCAAAATGATCCTGCAAGGATTGCAAACCTACAACATGAGAAGGGTGATTTTCCTTTGTTCCAAAAAGAACCCCATTGATCACATTAAGGAACCACTTGGCATTAGCAGAGTATAATTAGTTGCTGGCCCTACCCATCATCAAATTTCCTATTAGGTCTAACACACACATATATAATATAGCTCCATATCTTTTCAAAAAGACAGCCTATACATTTCTACCACTCTCCTCAATTTAGCATAACCGTCTCTCCACTAAAAAGGCACAAGCTACATACTTTCAACGTAAATTGCTAAATAGAGAGCGGAGAGCATAACCAACAGGTGGCCTTGGATGCTGTTAGACCGGTCCAGCCGGTCCACGCGGGACCGGCTCATGAGCGAAATGGCGGAGGTCTTCTACCTCCTTGTACGAGCCGTGCGAGCTGTAAGTTCACGGGAGCCTTTTTAGGAATGGATTTTTTAGGAAGTTTAGGAGGGAAATTGAATGTAGGGACTGTTTAGAGATTTCATTTTGAATCGTAAGCATTATATAGTTTGCTTTCCTAGGGTTAGGGCATCTTGAATTTGGATGAAATTTGAGATCTCCTAGATTTAGGTTTTTCTTTGGGCTCTAGAGGCGTCTAGAGATTTGGGAGAGATCAATCCTCCTCTCGAATTGAGGATCGACTATATCTTGCTATTTTCCGTTTCTATTTCATCAAATAATACAAATTTCCTGCTATTTTTTTGGTTTTGTGTGGATTCTTGTGGAGGATTTTCGCTGTTGTCCAATGATTTATAGGAAATACTTGAGATCTACAAGTTTTTCCTATCAAATTGGAATTAGAGCTATTTTGGGACCTTTTGTGGGCTATTTTGGTGAATTTCAGCAGCTATTCTTGGGATTTTGAAGAAGAAAATTGCTGTTTTTGAAGATCAAAATCCAGATTTTTATTTCTACAAAAATATGGGCATCAATGGCGGCCAAGAAAATGGATGAGTTGGTGGAACGCCTCGAAGTGAAGATTGGACAAATGAAATATGAAATTTCATATCTCTAAACTCAAGTTTCATTTGTCTTAGTTATCCATGATAAGTTCGATTCAAAATTTTCCATCTTGGAGGAGATGTTGAACTCGAGGGCCAAACCAAAATATCACTGTCGATGGTGAGGGAAGGCGCCGACAGACACGAAGATGGGAAAAAACCTAAGCCAATTAGACAAAGGGGAGATCAGGAAGTGAAGACTCGAAAGGGAAAAGAGAAAATACCTCTCATAGAGCCTATTTCTAGGTAAAGGCCGGGAAGAGGGTATGAGAAGAGGCGTTAGGAGGTAGGGCAAGAACGAAGATGTGCTGATTTGGGGAGAGGAGGGGCGAGATTGGAAAGGGAAATGGGTAATTATGATTAAAGGTGCTGAATTTGTTATGATCCAAGGGGTGCTGAATTTGAGATGAGAATGTGGGAATTTGATGAAAAGTTTGGGTATGAACGTAGAAGGGATGATTGGGACACTTCGGGGGAACCACCCCCTTGGGGAATGAGAAATTATAGAGGGAACAGAGGGAACGGAGGCGATCTGAGGGTGAAGAAATTAAAGATGTCAATCTTTGAGGAGGAGGATGCGCACGAGTGGATCTACAAGGTTGAAAGATATTTCGTCATCAATGAGCTGACAGAGGAGAAGAGACTGACGACAACAGGCCTATGTTTGGAAAGGAAAACATTGGCTTGGTACCAATGGAGGGGCATGCGACGACCCATACGGAGTTAGAGGATGTCCAAGGATTCTTTGATAGAACATTTCCGAACAAACAGGGAGGAGACTTCTACGAGTTGTTTTCCGCCTTCACGCAGGATGCTTCAGTGATAGAGTACCAGGAGTTGTTCGAGTATATTGCTATACGATTGGACCGCATTTTTGAGACAGTACTAGAGAGGAACTTCATGAAAGAATTGACACCAAAGATCCGAGAAGCAGTTAGAATAATGAGGTCTCGTGACTTGGGAGAGGCTATGGAGCTAGCTCAATTGGTAGAAGATCAGAGGCACCTCGAGAGAGAGACAGGAGGAAGCAGCTCAGGAGGCACGTACAGGATGACCACCACCTTATTGAAATCCAAGGAGCCAACGCCGGATACTCTTCGGGGGACTTCGAAGGAAAAGACTGCAGAAGGAAGACCTATGGACAACTTCAAGAAGCTCACAGAGACGGAATTACAAGAGAAGAGGGGCGAATGGGACTCTGTTTCAGATGTGACGAGAGGTATAGTCTGAGGCACATGTGTAAGGACCGAACTCTTCAAGTTCTTATCGTTTGTAATGAAGAAGGAATGGAGGGTATTGTCTTTCCACCTTGCGGACAAGGTGGATCTTTGGGAGGGGAGTATTGTTAGATCGGTCCATTAGGCCGGTCCACGCGGGATCGGCCAGTGCTCAAATGGCGAAGGTCTTCCGCCTCCCTATACAAGCCGCGCGAGCTGCAAGTCCACGAGAGCCGTTTTAAGAAGGATTTTTGAAGAAGTTTAGGAGGGAAATTGAATGTAGGGACTGTTTAGAGATTTTCTTTTGAATTGTATGCATTAAATGGTTTGTTTTCCTAGGGTTAGGGCATCTTGAATTTGGCTGAAATTTGAGATCTCTTGAATTTAGGTTTTTCTTTTGGAGCGGCGTTTAGAGATTTGGGAGAGATCGATCCTCTTCTTGAATTGAGGATCCACGGTATCTTGCTATTTACCGCTTATATTCCATC